GGTCATCGATTGCATTTATTTAACAATCCAGCGATACGAACCGAGAGATTTGGGAAATCCCTCAAGGTTTCGAGGATAATCGTAACAATATATATAACGCCATTACAGCAGCTATAGTGGCTACCGCAAACAATACGATACAAGGATCGAATCGTCACATGCGATATCTTACTACTCGTCACGTAAACACATTTTTCGGATTATGATATACGTGAGCGTACTCTTTGTACCATTCAGCTTATACAGCCTGACGTATCACGTAATTTTCTTTCGTATGGTTTTCGATCCGTGAAGGGATGTTACGATTCGAGCCCAGCTTATACTGCCTGACGCATGCATCATGTAATTTTCTTTCGTATCGTTTTCGATCCGTGAACGGATATTACGATTCGAGCACTTGTAAGAACGCGGTTACCCACAGACGTGTACGTGGCGTAGCGTAGAAGTACGTAGAAAGATAATGGGAGGTATTATCACTTGCGAAACGAATGAATTTGGAGAAGCGAACGCTTTGGTGAAGCGAATGGATTGGCGAACGCAACTTAAATATGCATTAAGAGTGTTCGCTTTTACCAGCTTGTGCAAGTTCTTTGCATCGCGAACACTTTTAATACCTTCTCTGCCTTTTAATTTGCTTCGCCAAACCGTTCCCTTCGCCAAAATCATTCGCTTCGCAAGTGATAATAACACCCAATAAGTTTGCTGTTGATAAAGCAACGTCTACGTCACGGTCATGCGGTGGTGAGTTTTTGTTAACACGCAGATCCCATAAGATTGATCGCGTCAGTTGACACGTTCTCCGTTTTTACGTCCGTGGGTAACTGCGCTATATACACGCCTAGATACCGCTATAAGCATACATTAGATATTTATTTTACTTTAAACACAAGGAAGAAACTTTGTATTTGCTCAAATTTCTTTATTTTTGCTCAAATTTGCGTTGATATTTACTTTTTCGTTACGTATGCTCATATTTTGTATAATGAAATACTTATCCATAAACATACAATAAAAATGTTTATAATTGTATTAATGCAAATTAAACGTATTACCTACATGCACATCTTTAAAAAGCCGATAAGCATACATATTTAAATCATAATTCACAAAATCAACAAATTTTATGAACGATCTATTTTTTACGAATTAAATCCATAAAAAATTATTGTAAAAAACACTATGTTTGTTACATAAACATAACAAAACTTATCGGGCAAATAATATGTAGAATACATTTAAAAAATTTACAACAAACTTTAAAGTAAAACGCGGCTTTGAAATGTGCATATTTAACGTTGTTCGATATATTTACTTTTTATATATTTAGCAGTAAATACTAAATCTAACTTTAATAATCTACTTTATAGGTTTGCTACAACGATGTGCAGATACATATTGAATGATGCATATTACCGTTAACATTTTAATTACTGCTGTCTGACAACACATTTCAATGTTACAATTCTTTACCCAATGCAGCTGAGCTTTTATGCGGCTATATTGAGTGCTTTAAATTCATCATCATGCATCTCAGTCATCATGTAAGTACCGTCTTGCAATAACAATACCACCCGCCGTGTACCGCCTACAAACGAAGTCAATGGAGGTATTAGTATTTAATAAAAATAAGACAATTTAAATTCATCATTAGAATATTTACCGGGAGAGGGCATACCAGCCTGTATCACTTCAGCAGGTATGTTCGCTTCCTGGCCATCGGCGCCGTCAGATGTTTGGATACAGAGCTGGCCAGTGGAACCACCACTGGCTGTTACTGCGACAGCTCCACTACCGGTGTCTGTTTGTTGATGTTGCTGGGCTGCCGCTAAGGCCTGATGCTGTTGTAATTCTGCCTCACTCATGGTAACTACCTGTGTGGTGCCATCTTCTTTTGTGGTTTTGACAATATATTGGGGCTCAGCCATGGATTCGGATTGCAGTTCACCAGGATTTTGTGATACTGCTTCTGCAACGGCATTATCAAGGGTGAGCACTTGATTTTCATCACCATCGGCAGCAGCGACGTAGGCAAATTGTTGTTCGCCATCAGGACCCTGGGTCACAAGTATAGTTTGTCCCTCGGCATTTTTACCTGCCACTTGGTATACGGTGCCATCTTCGCCAGTAACTAACAACGGAGTACCATCTTCATTGGTGAGCATTTGTTGATCACTGGTTAAGAGCAGAGTGGGATCGATGTCGTGCAATTGTTGTTGATGATGATCTTGTTGCAGTGTCAATTGTTGTTCACCTCCAGCTCCTGTAATCAATTGAGTATGCATGACTCCGCTTTGCATGTGCTGCTGAGACATCACTTGATCATCCTGTCCCAAAATTTTACCTGCAATATCAAATTTTAATTGAGTCGCAAGAAACCGGCAATAAAAGATTTAAATTACCGGTTATAGGGCATAATTGTGCTTGGTGCTGTTCCTCATGTGCATATGTACCATCTGGTTGCTTACGCACACTTACCGCACTTACTTGTGCTGTGCGTCCTCCTCCGGTCGGAGGTGTGATCTGCTGAACTTTCTGAATTTGAATTTGTGATTGTTGCTGCCTTAAGCTCATACGCTGCGCAATGGCATCCTCTCGAGTCATAACCTTTTTAGTAACTTTTAAATCGCCAGACTTTGAAAGCTGGAGAATTTTTTGTTCAGGTGTTACAGTCTTTGTGGTAGTGCTAGTTGCCGGACGCGTAACATGCCCGGCGTTACCTTGACGAGGTATTATCATACGTCCGGATGTAGGGGAAGAATGCGGTTGGACTGATGAACCAGTTGCGTTGGCCACAGCACCAGTACGCACTTGCATTGATACACCCCCCCCGTTGGTGCTGTGTAATACCGCTAGCCGTAACTATCTTTCGTTGCAATGTAGTGCCTACAGATGTACGTTGGACCTGTTGCCGAGAAATTGTGTTAATTTGCGTATTACCAACAGTGGTGGTACCACCGGCTCCTACACGAATAGGTGTTCGTCCAGCTGTAACTGCCGATGTTGCCAATTTGGATTCGCTACCACTATCACTAACCCCGCCACCTCCGACTCGCACTACACCTGTGCTGGAAACAGCAGACTCTCCCTTTGATAGTATTCGAATCTGTGCCTCATTTTTTAGAGTGGTCTAAAATAAGACAATTTAATTATTTAGCTTTCATGTACTACTACCTGGAAGTAAAAGAAACTTATGTTCTGCACCAGTTCGAGTTCTGAAGAAAAGCTGATTTAATATACCAATTAAATAAACTAAAAGCTTTAAGTTGTATAGGACGCACTTAAGTTTGAAATAACGCTGAAAGTAGGCGGATTAAGTTTCTTGCAAATGAGGATGTAAATAAAGCCCAAAGTAGATTAAGGCAGATTTTTTGGCAGCGATAATATATATTTCAAGATCAACTTTTTCACACAAAAAAAAAAAATATAATGAAAGACACATATACTGTATACATCTGTGCCGATGAGAAAGGGTTGTTAAATGTATATAATTATATTATGTACACAATTATCAAAAATTTTATTGGAGCTCCATTAAAACGAATGATTTACTTAGATTTATATCTTTTGCCAGGTTCTGAACTTACATTGCGACCATTGCTATTGAAGCCAGGCTTCTTTACTACACCGGAAGCATTAATGTCTTGCGTGATAATGACTTCTGCTGAATTTGGTCCAACTGGCAATGACTCACCGCTAACTGTAGCGGGGGTTCGGGTACTGCTTGTTCCATTCACCTTAACCACTTTGGACTATGAACAAAAAAAAATTACATTTTTGTTTGTTCCTTACTATAAATATATAAAATTAGTGTCTTAAATTTGTACCTCGATTGATATCGCATTCCCGTTCTTCATCCGTTTTACTGTATGCGAAGGAATTAAATCCTCTTCTAAATCTTCTATTGTTGCTGTAGTACTAGGCAAATCGCTAGCGTTGGAATCATTAAAATCTGAATCTTCTAATTTGCGCTTTAAACCAGCCGTTCCACCGGCTGCTGAGCTATTGCTGGTATTCATAGACCAATCTCTTTCACCGTCTTGTGAGTTGTTGCCACTTCCGGCGACATCGCTGCCTGTGGGCGAAGCTGCACGTGATTGATTACTTCCCGAAACCCATTGTTTAACTTGGTCCATTGCCTTGGTTTTGGATGTACGTGATGGCCTTGGGGAAACATCTGTTGATACAGTTGATTTGTTACTATCGCCGACATCATTGTTACTACTGGTAACACTTTGTAGTTTTATTATACCAGTGCCAAGTTTAGTCAAGGCACTGCTTTCGACTTTTTTTGTGGGTTCAATTGATTTGTTTTCAGTATTTTTACCAGATGCTGCTAATTGTGCAGCTTGTTTAGCTTGTAATGCTGCTCGTGTCTCTTTTTGTCGAGCCAACTGCGTTTCAAATGTCTCCAAAAGGTGAGGGACATTTTCCAAGTGTGATGATGGTTCCCAAGTATTTTGTTCATGTGTGCGAGCTTCCCATTTAACCAAATACTCATGCATTTTGCGTCTCGGGTTAAAACGCTTTGCAACTATTTTTTCAACATTCTCCTCAATGACTTCATCTGAGTTGGGAACAGTGCGCTTGGCACGACGGCTGTATAAATAAAAATGGAACGATTAACACGGTCTACATCTAAGTTTACATATACACGTGATATTTTTAACCTCATGACCTGCTTTTTGTGATAATATTAATATATTATTTCGGTATACTTTACCTTGAAGCTTTCAAGACGTTTGCAATGGGCAGCTTGTTTTGTGTTACACCTCCTACAGGGTCACTGCGTATGGTCACCGGTTTTTTTACAACTTTTTGGAAAGGTGTGGTTGCTTTATGGGAAGAATCACTTTCCACATCTTTATTGGCATCATTGACTTTAATGGGCGGTTTCAAATTTGTTACTTGAGGCTTAGTTTGCGCTGGAAGTTCTAAATATTTTATGTTACTCTATTTTAATATATTTAATTAAAAAATACTTACTACGTCCAGGTGACACATTTTCACTTGTGTTATTAACAACTGTTTTAGTTATTTTCACAGGCATCTCCTGTAGGCCGCCTTGACCTACTTTGGCGAACGATTGAATAGTTTTGCCTGCAACAATCCATGTTTCTCGTAAACTTTCATCCATTTTTACCCAGGTTTGATATAGAGCCCATGAATTGGGACTAGCCGTATTTGAGTCTCTAATGTTATGTAGTTGTGTTGCCTTCCACAGTAAGAATGCCCAAATTTTTGGTTTAGTGTCATTACATTCACGCACATT